GGGGGCAGCCAGACAAACTGAGATACAGAGACAGAGACACGGAGAGATTCAAATGCAAATCTAAAAGCTGCTTTTAAAAACTAATTGATGCCCAGCCTTTCCCATGAAACGTCTTTTATAATGATCTTGTAGGGGTCGTTACTAATCTTTTTCAAACTGTCTTATTGCCATTACAGGTACCCGTGTAACACTATGAAGGCAGGTAGCAACTTAGATTCTAAAGGCTATGGCATCGCCACACCGATGGGTTCAGACATCAGGTAACACATCTCTGTTGCATTTTGTCTTGTTTTTATTGTAATGAACACACTTCTAGAAAAGGGGTGGCTTACACGCGAATCAAAGCTTAATGAAAAGAAACAATGACAAGAAATTGCAAAGCTTCCCAAAATCGTTGGACTCAATTGAATGTACACTTGTGGGATTTTAGGCTGTTGCTCTGAACAGATACAGTAAAACAGATTTTTAAAAACATCTCCGCAGCTCGCCTCGATTGGCTGTAATGAATTTTGCATAAGGGTGGAACAGGGAACCTCAGCCATTTGTGGAATTTGAAAGGGGTTGGGACGGGGTAGGGGGGAGGGGAGCTAAACCCCTCTTTAATCAAGTTTTAAACTTGTTTTTCAATGTTTATGTTTGCCCAAGGCAATACTGGCAATGCAACACTGTTGTTACAATATTTATCATAAATTCAAAGAATGCAGCCCCCTCCCCAAGGGTAGTGCAACTGAAATGAAGTATCTAAATGCCATTCCCAAAGAGGGGATATTAACATGTTTTCATGCATAGTAGAATTGTAAAAAGACTGATTTATCAATGTCACTCTCATACTGTGCCGGAACAACATAGGGGGACTGCTGCTTTCTCTTTCCTCATCCCTACTATCGTCATTTCCTCTACTTGTTTTGTATGTTTGTCACTCTCTTGTGAACTGCTATTTCCAGTCTGCCTTGATAGTCGAAGCAGACTTTGTGTTGTTGAAGCTAGAGAGGTGAGCAGAAAAAGCCTGATTTCCCGTTTGGATTTGTCTGTTGACATCCACTCCTTGGCGCTTAGGCAGTACACTAGAAGAAGAAGAAGAAGAAGAAGAAGAAGAAGAAGAAGAAGAAGAAGAAGAAGGAGAAAAAGAAGAAGAAGAAGAAGAAAAAGAAGAAGAAGAAATTCTGTTGAATAGAATTAGTTTTATTATGCATTAGAGTCATTTATTTAAGTTGTTTAGTGCTTTTAAGAAATAGACAGGTCTCAACTCACCTTCCCAGGGACAAGCTGACATTGGCCATCTTACAACTCCGAGAGGACGGAGTCCTGGACGAACTAAAAAAAACTTGGTGGGTGGAAAAGTCACAGTGTCCGCTGGAATCCTCGGCAAAGGTGAATTTGTTTTATTTCTGTAAAAAAAAAAAAAAAAGATATTACTTTAATCCAGCCACGAAGGCGTTTTAGTAACAATGTGTGTTGTACACAATACGTAAATATACTGATTGACCGTGAATGATTTATGTTCCCATAGACACAATTCAAATTTATTTGAATTCTGAATTTTGCCTCTGTGGCGGCCGACGCCTACTCTTATTGATTTTAGGACCAACACGAGATGTACGTAACTTGCTCACGGGAGCTCCGATATTTTTCGCTCTTATCTTATCTACCATAAGATCAGGGGTGTGGCTGAAAGGCGGTAATAAGAAGACGCCTTGGAGTAGCTGTGGAAAGGCTGCAGAAAAGGTCAAGAGCCCCGAGGAGGTGATAAAGGGAAGGGGGGGGGGGGGCAAAAAGTGGAGGCGAAAACAGACGACAAGGTGTTTAGAGAGCAGGAAAGGAGGTGAAAGGTGAATTTTTGGAAAATAAAATGTTCCTTTGCAGTCAGGTTTCGAACAAGGGAACTACTGAATGAGAGGCGAATACGGTAAGCTCTGGACCACGAGAGCCCTCCAGACTTGATTGCTGTAACTATCTTCTCGCTAACTTTAGAAATTACTAAGAGACTGCAGCAGCTGCAAAGTACAGCTGTTTGACTGACCTTAAAAAAAACACGTTACACTGTGATCAATAAAGTTACACAGGCTTTTCCCTCTCTATTTGTTTCAAGGTGAGTGGGCCACTAATTCTTCGGTTGATCAGCTTTGTCTGGGCGGAAGAATTAGAGAAAGTAGATTTCCCAAGTTGGCTTACTACTTCCCTCCCGTTCAGATCTTGACTTTTTTATATGCTCCAAAGGAGAGACATGGTCAATAATATATTTGGAATCAAGGAAGGTGTTAGCTTACTAATCAAAGCAATTCAGAAGAGGCGAAATGCAGTTTCTGAGACAGTTGAATAGACGAAAAACCTTGGACATTGCTCTCACTCGAAGAGTAACAGATAAAAGAGGCAGATTTAGATCAACTTCTCAGTACTTCAACGGGTGACGGGAAAAGACGAGGTCAACGTACGTTTTTTGAGAGCACCCCCGAGCACTATGTCTGTTACAGATCTCGCACTCAATGATGACCTTGATTTGTGATG